CCCTCTTCTCCTACCCCCTGCCCTCCCCCCCAAGGGAGACGTCTCAAAATCTGTACAGTTATATGATGGGGAAGGGGGGGCTGGAAAAGAGTTGAGTCTGTAATAAGGTGGAGGGGGGGAGAACAAGGAAGGGTGGTCTATACTAAGAGGGGGCCTGTAATGAGGACATGGGCTGGCAATTTAAACCACTCCCATTTTTTTGCCGCTATTGATTGTCCCGTCCCTAATTAAAATAATACTCTGCCTACCAGAAAAAAGTGTAAAATTTTGGGGGAATGTTGCAACTATGTGCTCCCTGCACAGTTATCGGCACCTAATGGAAGGATCACAAGAAGCGTCTGGGAGCTTTACGATCATGTGACCACTGTGACAGCCAACCACGGTGGTCACATGATCATAAACCCCGCCTCCAGGGATCAGAAACCGCATATAGGGCAGGGAGGCACGGTGTTAAGGGTTAAAAAAAATCCTTTTAGGCCTGATGATTGCATAAAGCTAGATTTTTTTTTAAAGCAGACACCCTAGAGAATAATGGTGGTACGTCCAATTTGTTTCTGTGTTCCATGATATTACCTGAAAAGTCTAGGAAAACCCATAATTACACTAGAAAATAGACCAAAGTTTAAGTGATTAAAGGCAATTACAAAAAAAATAACAAACATGTCTATACTTACCTGCTCTGGAATGATTTTGCACAGAGCAACCCTGATCTTCCTCTTCTTGGGTTCCCCACCAGCGCTCCTGGCTCCTCCCTCCTTCCGAGTGCCCCTAAAGCAAGCAATAGAGCTATGGGGGCACCCAAGCAGGTTAGCACTTCCACCTGGCACCACTAGGGTCATCGGTTCAAATCCCAACCACAGCACCACCTGCCTGGAGCTTGCATGTTCTCCCTGTGCCTGCATGGGCTTCCTCTGGGTACTCCAGTTTCCTCCCACAAGCCAAGGACATGCTGGGAGGGTAATTGGCTCCTGTCTACATTGACCCTAGTATGTGTATGTATGAATGTGAGTTAGGGATCTTAGATTGTACGCTCCTCGGGGGTGGGGACTGATATGAATGTACAATATATATATATATATATATATATATATATATATATATATATATATCGCTGCTTAAATTTACAGCACTATACAAGTACCTGTAATAAATAAAGTGTCCACACCCACGTGGAAGAAAAAATATATTTTAAAAAATATTCTTCCCAAATATATTAACCTATATTTGAAATGCTGCAGTTTTGGCCACATTCAAAATTAGGTATGTATTGGGTTTAAAGAGTGCCTTGAAGGGACTTAGGAGAGTGGGGGGGGGCAGGATTTTGGGGGTGAGTGTCAGAACCATAGTGGCAATAGCATGGGCTTCCTCCGGGTACTCCAGTTTCCTCCCACACGCCAAGGACATGCTGGGAGGGTAATTGGCTCCTGTCTACATTGGCCCTAGTATGTGTATGTATGAATGTAAGTTAGGGACCTTAGACTGTACGCTCCTCGGGGGCGGGGACTGATGTGAATGTACAATATACATACTGTATATCCATGTAAAGTGACAGCACTATATAGGTCCATGTAATAAATATCATCAGAAAGGTCAGACTTAGGAACATTGAAGTGAGAAGGCTAGCCCTTTATTACAGTAGTACCGCGTTTAAGTGCCACAAATGGGAACATGGCGTGGATTTTTAGCGAGTACATATTTTGAATTATTATTACAAAATGTACCTGGAAATAATTTTTGATGTGACTTTCATGTGAAGCATGAAAATGTGTATTTTTTTTTCTCATGAAATATTGATGATCGCTCTCTTTCTGAACTGATAGAATGAAGTGGGGAAGTTGGTAGTTATTCATGTGTGTGCCGACGAGGATAAAACAGCTCGGCATTAGAGAGAAGCTGCGGGGGCTGGTTGTTATTTCTGCGTGACAGTAAGTTGCTGTAAACCGGTGTGGCGCCATTGATATAAATAACCCCCCGATGCATTGTTGCAATAGCGCCCCCCCCCCCCCCTCACTGCAGTGCACAATGCCTGAAAGACTAAAAAAATTGGTTATGCGCACTTTTTTGGCCAATTCTGCGTGCTTGCAGCCCATTCATAATGAACGGGTCGCCTTAATGCAACTCTCATTTAACCCCTTCCAGTCCAGCCCCGGTGTTCCTTTAACCACTTCAAGTCCGAACACTTTCAGTCACCCTTCCAGTCCGGACACTTTCACCCCTTCCAGTCCGGACACTTTCACCCCCTTCCAGTCCGGACACTTTCGCCCCCTTCCAGTCCGGACACTTTCACCCCCTTCCAGTCCGGACACTTTCACACCCCCTTCCAGTCCAGACACTTTCACCCCCTTCCAGTCCGGACACTTCTCCCCCCCTTCCAGTCCGGACACTTTCCCCCCTTCCAGTGCGGACACTTTCACCCCCTTCCAGTGCGGACACTTTCACCCCCTTCCAGTCCAGACACTTTTCACCCCCTTCCAGTCCGGACACTTCTCCCCCCCTTCCAGTCCGGGACACTTCCACCCCCTTCCAGTCCAGACACTTTCACCCCCTTCCAGTCCGGACACTTTCCCCCCCTTCCGGTCCGGACACTTTCACCCCCCTTCCGGTCCGGACACTTTTATCCCCTTCTGGTCCGGACACTTTCACCCCCCTTCCAGTCCGGACACTTTCCCCCCCTTCCAGTCCGGACACTTTCCCCCCCTTCCAGTCCGGACACTTTCTCCCCCTTCCAGTCCGGACACTTTCACCCCCTTCCAGTCTGGACACTTTCATCCCCCTTCCAGTCCGGACACTTTCCCCCCCTTCCAGTCCGGACACTTTCACCCCCTTCCAGTCCGGACACTTTCCCCCCCTTCCAGTCCGGACACTTTTCCCCCCCTTCCAGTCCGGACACTTTCCCCCCTTCCAGTCCGGACACTTTCACCCCCTTCCAGTCCGGACACTTTCACCCCCTTCCTGCCCAGGCCAATTTCCAGCTTTCAGCGCTATCGCACTTTGAATGACAATTGCGCGGTCATGCAACACTGTACCCATATGAATTTTTTAGCATTTTTTGGAGACAGATAAAGCTTTATTTTGGTGGTATTTATTCACCATTGGGGATTTTTATTTTTGTTTTGCTATGTTAATGAAAAAAGTCCAAAAATTTTGAAAAAAAGTTTTTTCTTATAAAATTTTGAAAATAAATAATCTTTCTTCATAAATCTTGGCCAAAATGTATTCAGTTTATCTTTTTAGTCAAAATAAATAATGCAAATTACTTTATAACCAAAAATTATAATTTTTAAAAACATTCTTTTTACATTTTTTTATTTTTTATATTATTAATTTATGTTTTTTTTTTAAAACATACTGTCACCCAAGCAGTAGTGTCACCATAGTGACCCTGTACTACTTGTGGGGGGTGATGAAGATTTTTTTTTTTTTTTTTTTACACTGATTGCTTTGACACCCATAAAGGCTGTAAAAGCAATCATTTTCTCCTTCTCTCTGGCTCCATTCTTGCATCCATTGAGAAGTACTGTGTGAGCTGTGATTGGTCACAGCTTGTCACATGGTACAAAGCTGTTGTGAATAGCCTGTACCATGTGATCTCTGTGATCATTCACAGATTTCACACATAGTAAGCAATGATGTCAGACGTGACATCTTGTGTACTACTATTCATGTGATCACTGATTGGCCAATCAGTGATCACATGAATGGACCTCACACAGAGGTCCTGTACAGCGATTGGCGTTCATGGTGCCGCGTGCTCCCAGGGAGCACGCACAGTCCAAAATGGTGGGCGCCGTTTATAAAAACAGCAACCCGCCCCTGCACTGCTCCCGTCTGGCCATCTATGTACATGGGCCGGACGAGAAGTGGTTAACAGGGTCTTTATGCCATGAGAAGGAAGGACTGCATGGACCACTGTGATTGGCTGTCAAAGTGATTACGTGATTGGGAGATGGTCCCAATCATTACTAGTGACCGGGGAGCGGTCTATAACTCAGTCTCTGTATCAGAAGCGTGCGGTGATGGCGCTCTCCGCACAGAAATCTTGGCAGCCAATGGACACCAATGGGCAGCCTGTGAGCAATAAAGCCGCCTGCCCCTCTTTGCCACCGCACATATGCATTAGGTGGGCAGCAAGAGGTTAACATGTGTGTTAAAGGGCAAGGCTATCTTTTTTTTGATGCACAGGAGTGAATCCATCTACTGGCCCCATAACAACAACAGACCCCTCCCTCAATAGTAGATATCCCGCCCAGCAAAAACTGGAAAAATTTACCCCCGAGCAACAATGGATCCCCCCTAGCAATAAAAGACTTCCCAGAAAATGGATTCCCACAACAAAATACCATCTCCGCAACAATAGACCCTTTGAGGAACGACAATCTCCCATCAGCCAGCATTAATAGACCCACCAGCAACAGCAGATCCCACAGCAACAACTGACCCCCCCAGCAACAAATACCGCCACAACAACAAAACACCACCCCAGCTACAAAGAGTTTGTGTGACCCAGCAACAACAACATATCTCAAGCAGCCAACATCAATAGATACGAATGTGCCCCCCCCCCCCCCCCCCCAGCAGCCAGCACAATAGACCCTCCCCTCGCGTCAATGAATCCCTCCCAGCAACAATGGATCCTCCAGCAATAATAGACTCCCCAACAACAATGGATCCCCCCGCAACAAAATACCATTTCAGCCACAACAGTTCTCCAAGCAGCCAGCAACTATAGATTCCCCTCCCTCAACAGTAGGTCCCACAGCAACAATTGACCCCCAGAAATGCGGGGTCCAGGGAGAGCGGATATAGTGAATGCGGGGTCCCAGGGAGAGCGGATATAGTGAATGCGGGGTTCTGGGGAGAGCGGATATAGTGAATGCAGAGTCCTGGGAGAGCGGATATAGTGAATGTAGGGTCCCGGGAGAGCGGATATAGTAAATGCGGGGTCCGGGAGAGAGGGATATAGTGAATGCGGGGTCCGGGGAGAGCGGGGATATAGTGAATGCGGGTTCTGGGGAGAGCGAATATAGTGAATGCGGGGTCCGGGGAGAGCGGATATAGTGAATGCGGGGTCCGGGAGACCGGATATAGTGAATGCAGGGTCCGGGGAGAGCGGGGTATAGTGAATGCAGGGCCCGGGGAGAGCGGATATAGTGAATGCGGGGTCCGGGAGGAGAGCGAGCGGATATAGTGAAATGCGGGGTCCCGGGGAGAGCGGATATAGTGAATGCGGGGTCTGGGGGAGAGCGGGATATAGTGAATGCGGGGTCCGGGAGACCGGATATAGTGAATGCGGGGGTCCGGGGAGAGCAGATATATGAATGCGGGGTGGGAGAGATATATGCGGGGTCCGGGGAGAGCGGATATAGTGAATGCGGGGGTCGGGGAGAGAAGCATATAGTGAATGCGGGGTCGGGGTGAGAGCGATATAGTGAATGCGGGGTCCGGGGAGAGACCGGATATAGTGAATGCAAGGGTCCGGGGAGAGCGATATAGTGAATGCAGGGCCGGGGAGAGCGGATATAGTGAATGCGGGGTCCGGGTGAGAGCGGATATATAGTGAAATGCGGGGTCCCAGGGAGAGCGGATATAGTGGGGCCGGGGAGAGCGGGAAATAGTGAATGCGGGGGGGTCCCAGGTAGAGCGGATATAGTGAATGCGGGGTCCGGGGAGAGCGGATATAGTGAATGCAGGGTCCGGGGAGAGCGGATATATAGTGAATGCGGGGTCCAGGGAGAGCGGATATAGTGAATGCAGGGTCCGGGGAGAGCAGATATAGTGAATGCGGGGTCCGGGGAGAGCGGAATATAGTGAATGCGGGGTCCTTGGGGGAGAGCGGATATAGTGAATGCGGGGTCCGGGGAGAGCGCAGATATAGTGAATGCGGGGTCTGGGAGAGAGGCGATATAGTGAATGCGGTGGTCTGGGGAGAGCAGATATAGTGAATGCAGGGTCCGGGGAGCGAATATAGTGAATGCGGGGTCCGGGGAGAGCGGATATAGTGAATGCGGGGTCCGGGGAGAGCGGATATAGTGAAGATGCAGGGTCCGGGGAGAGCGGTATAGTGAATGCGGGGCCCGGGAGAGCGGATATAGTGAATGCAGGGTCCGGGAGAGCGGATATAGTGAATGCGGGGGTCCAGGGAGAGCGGATATAGTGAATGCGGGTCCAGGGAGATCGGATATAGTGAATGCAGGGTCCGGGAGAGCGGATTTAGTGAATTAGCGGGGTCCGGGGAGAGCGAATATAGTGAATGCGGGGTCCGGGGAGAGCGAATATAGTGAATGCGGGGTCCGGGGAGAGCCGGATATAGTGAGATGCGGGGTCCGGGGAGAGTGGATATAGTGAATGCGGGGTTTTGGGGAGAAGCGAATATAGTGAATGCGGAGGGTCCGGGGAGAGCAGATATAGTGAATGCGCGGGTCTGGGGAGAGCGAAATATAGTGAATGCGGGTCCGGGGAGACGGGGAAATAGTCGAATTCAGGGGTCCGGGGAGGAGCGGATATTGTGAATGCAGGGTCCGGGGAGAGGCGGAATATAGTAATGGGGGGGTCCGGGAAGAGCGGAGATGAGTGATTGGCGGGGTCCTGGAGAGCGGAATATAGGGAATTGCGGGGTCCCGGGGGAGAGCGCTTTTAGTGAATGCTGGGTCCGGGGAGAGCAGATATAGTGAATGCGAGACCGTGAGAAGGGATATAGTGAATGCAGGGTCCGGGGAAGCGGAGATTAGGGAATTGCAGGGGTCCTGGGAGAGCGGATATAGTGAATGCCGGGGTCCGGGCGTTAACCAGCGCATATAGAGAATGCGGGGGTTCCGGGGAGAGCCGGATATAGTGAATGCGGGGTCCGGGAGAGAGCGGGATATAGTGAATGGGGTCCGGGAGAGCGGTTATAGTGAATGCGGGTCCGGGGGAGAGCGGATTTTAGTAAACGTGGGGTCGGGGAGAGCGGCGTTTAGTCGCAATGACAGGGTCGGGGAGGAGCGGAATATGTGAAAGCAGGGTCTGGGGAGAGTGGTATTGTTAGGAATGGACGGCCCGCAATGGTGGGATCACCTGCCTTTTGAACTGCAGTCCAGGGTGGGCCCGCGGGGCTCCAGCTCAGGACTCAACCTTTTTAGCCCGCTAACACCTGGAACTGAGAACTGGGTATTTAAGGGATGGCCCAGATTGCGACTCTGCTTGGTGTTGGTTTTGTGGGGGGCCCTTAAAATGTCCGCTCCCGTTTCTGTCCCTCTCCCGACCCTCTTTTACGCTGTTGCTACCTGTTCTGTTCTCTGGGTTGTGCCCTGACCATCCCCCTCCTACCCCCCTGTACTACGCTTTCTTGT